ATATGCTGACTCTGTAAACCGCTTAGAGAGGGCTGAAAGCCCTATGAAGCGGTATATAAGTCTAACTGCTATTGCTATTGCTAATTGTGGTCATTAAGTGGAGGACTATGGCGACAAGAAGCTGCAGCTCATGAAACCTTTTTGCATTTTAATAGAATTTATTATGATAAAATGTATTGGGGGGGGAAAGTACTACCAAATTCCTTGTGATTTTTGGGGGGCTGGTTTCATTTTTGGAGAGGAAAAAAAAGAGATATATAAAAATGCTAACATGGAGGTCTTGAGCCGACAGAGGGCGCTCCAACCTTTCTCTGGGCAGCCGGCCAGACTGAGCAAGCGCGTTGACTGCATTAGAGCAACGACTCCGCCCCATCCGCTTTACGTTATTCGCCTGCGCATTGCCTTCGAGCCGCGCATGCGTCCGGCCGGCTCGAAAGGCGCGGTTGTGGCACATGCGCACTATTTCTTCACCCGGCCGGTCAGAACGAGTCAGCACTCGCGGGGGAAACTGCTGCTTAGTGCGCGAGGGGGGAAAAAGCCAAGCTGAAACCGCCGAAGCTACTGACCACCTTTGGTGTCTCGTTCTAGCGGTTCGAACCGGCCGGTTCCCCTCAGAGGTAGCCGGCAAACGAGACCGGTAAAGAGAAGCGGGGCCGGAGGCGGGGCCTCTTCGTCATTATTCAAGGTAAGGGCGGGGATTGGGAGTGATTGACATGGACGCCGGCCAATGAAAGTCGCCGTGCGGTGCGCCCTCCCCTTTTAGCCTCCCGCTCGCTCTGATTGGCTCGGCGCGGAGAGAGCGGGGCGTGGTTTTTCCCAATTTGAATATTTGAGAAAATGAATGGAGAGAAGGGGAGGGGGGAGGTAGTGTGGTGGGGGGGGCAGCTTTTCCAGGATGGGGCGCTTTGGGGGTGGGGTCTTGGGCACCCTGTCCCATGATTCCCAGCAGGCTGTTACTTATGGGAGTTGTAGTCCAACGTGTCTAGAGGTTATGGACAAAAAGGGCGGGGGGGGGAAACAAAGGGAAGCCCCCTGGGGGGCTGATCAAACCCACCCACCCACCCATAAGATGTCTTGCTGGAATCAGCTTTGGCAAGCCATGATTGCTGAGATCTTGGTTCCTAAACCTGGATATTGGCTGGGGGGGGGATTTTGTAGAAAAGACCCCACCCCAAATGCCCCATTAAGGAAATGCTCTCCTGGCCCTTTCGGGTGGGGGGAGGGAACCCAGTTCTGGATGGGCAATGAACAGGGTGGGGGGACTGAGAAGGTAACAGGGGAGTGGGCTGGCTGGGACTGGGAAGCCGGAAAATACAGGCAGTCCTCGACTTAGTGACCGTTTCATTTAGTGACCGATTCAACGTTACAGCGGCACTGGAAGATATGACTTACAACCGTTTTTCAGACCCACGACCTTTGCAGCCTCTCCCAGGGTCGCGTGGTCAAAATTCAGACGATTGGCAACTGGTTCATACTTATGACGGTGGCATCGTCCCAAGGTCACGTGATCCCCTTTTGCGACCTTCTGGCAAGCAGAGTCAACGGGGAAGCCAGATTCACTTGAGCTGCCTTACCAACTGCACTGATTCGCTTAACGACAGAAGCGAGAAAGGTCGTAGAATGGGGCAACGTTCACTCAAGAAATGTTTCACTTAACAACATAATAAATGTTGGGCTCAGTTCGGGTTATAAATCAAGGTCTACCTGCAATCTTGTTTATTATGGCCTGGGAGAATAAGGCAAATTAAATTTTATTTTATTTATTTAAAACTTTTATATGCCGCCCAACCCCAAAGGACTCCGGGCAGCTTACAGCAGAATATAAAAAAACATAAAAACAGTACAATTTAAAACAACGATCATCCATCATAAATTCATTCTAGTCGGGGCCGGACCTCAACATTGAGGTCAACAGCCCCAGGCCTGCCGGAACAGCCAAGTTTTTACGGCTTTCCTGAAGGCCATGAGAGTGGGTATGGTCTGGATTTCCGGGGAGAGCTGGTTCCAAAGAGTCAGAGCAGCCACCGAGAAGGCTCTCCTCCGGGGGCCCGCCAGCCGACATTGTATGGCCGATGGCACCCGAAGGAGGCCCAATCTATGGGATCTTACTGGTCGCTGGGAGGTATGCGTCAGCAGGCGGTCTTGCAGGTATCCTGGCCCTAAGCCCTGTAGGGCTGTAAAAGTGATAACCAACTCCTTGAATTGAGTCCGGAGACCAATAGGCAGCCAGTGCAGCTCACGGAGGATAGGTGTAACATCGGTGTACCTCTGCACACTCACTATCACCCGCGCGGCCGCATTCTGAA